AAAAAGAGAGGAACGGCAAGGAAGAAACATATTTTCTTCCGTAATAAATCTTAATGAAATTTACGTGAATTTCCTTTTTTTTTTTCTTTTCGTTCTTTTCACTCAAAGTGAAATTATTATGCTCTACGACGCATTTAATTTTGCATATAAATAAACGCGTATTTCGCAAGTTTATTAAGTCATCAAATTTACATTTTATATTGTATACAATTTAAATTACGTTTAGTCATTATCATTCAGTTTGTTTAAAAGCGTTTCTGTCAAAAAATATAAAATTACTGAAAAAAGTAATAAATATTAGGTGAAGTAAAAAGTTTTTAGTATTAGATGACTTGAGTGAGCCATATGTCACGATGTATACGTTGAATCTTGTCATTCTATACTACGACTTAAAGGCGACATAACGCTTTAAAAAAAGTTCTTTAACAGTTTTGTGTTTAGTGAATCCAGTTGTGTGTTAAAGCGTTCCAAAATGGAGGTAAAAAAGAGAAAATTTGATACATTCTTCAGTAAAATTGGAGCTGCAATTGAATAAATATTGGATGGTATAGATTCAACATAAAAAAATCTATTGTCTTATCAAAGCAATAGAAGAATTAGCGTCGAAGTAAACAAAAAATTTCGATTCATTTCGTACGTTTCATAAATTGAATTAATATATGAAGAAAGGACTTACAAATTAATAACGTATATGAAAGGTATACAGTTTACATGATAAATGCATGTCGGCACGTAAAGCAGCTATGATAAAGATGTAATGTAATTGCAAATTACATTAGCAAAGGTCAATAACCTTTTACTTATAAGTAATAAGTAGTAATTTGTAATTAACAAATTAAGCATTGAGTAAAAGTAGATAAACTAATTAAATTTTCTAGTTTTTTGAGAAAATATTATTTAATTTTATAACCAAATTATTATAGATGAAATTAAACTATTATTTTTTGTAGTAGAAAATATATTTTTCATCTTTTTTTTATTCCCTTTTATATTTATTTTAAATCCATTTATCTACAGTTTTGTTACATAAACTCTACAACTTTATTTAAAGCGTTCCAAAATGGAGGTAAAAAAGAGAAAATTCGATACATTCTTCAGTAAAATTGGAGCTGCAATTGAATAAATATAGGATGGTATAGATTCAACATAAAAAATTTCTATTGCCTTATCAAATTCAAGACTTTCCTGGAAATTTTTCAGAAAATTATAATAATGACTCACTAGGCCTTTTCAAAATGTGGTACAATGCGTGTCTCATCGCCGCTCAAAGAGTTAAATTATTAACATATGTGATAATTATTGTATAATATATATTGTATTATATAAGTTATGATTCATGTTTGTGTAATATCAAAACAGTTGGCAGCGGTGGGATTCGAACCCACGCCTCCGAAGAGACTGGTGCCTTAAACCAGCGCCTTAGACCGCTCGGCCACGCTACCTTGGTATATGTCAAATATGGTGGATGTGCCGGGATATTCAAATACATTATTTGTCATTTTTAATAAATACTATTAAAAATCTGTCAAATTTCTTAGCTGAAAATAAACTATATAAAATAGTCTAATGTGAAATAAATAGATCAATTGACAACTATCACCTGACAAAAACGAAAGAAGTTGACCTTTGACATTTTCATAGCCTCGATGGCGCAGTAGGCAGCGCGTAAGTCTCATAATCTTAAGGTCGTGAGTTCGACCCTCACTCGGGGCATTACTTTTGATTAAATAACATCAAACATGTAAAGTACATAAAGGATATATAAAATGTAATCAAAATTATCTGCATTTTACAATAGTAGCAACAAAATAGTATAAATATATTGTTTAGACAAATCTTAATAAATTTAAATAAAATATTCATTGGTGGGCAGAAAAACCTGTGGCAATTTGATTTTTTTTTTTAATTTTTGTGATTATATTATTGTATTTAGTTTATTTTTTGATGTTTTATTATTAATTGTAAAGTTCCTTTTTGAACAAAATCATCACAAAAATTTGCAATTTTATTGTTCCAACTTAATTAAAGATAAACATTAAAGTTTCTTCATGTACAAATAGATTACAAAAATCTTCTTAAAAATAGACTTTTAACTTATTTTATATAGTTCAAAGCCAAATGAATTGGAGCAGGCGGCCAAAAATATTTGTGTTGTATATGGACCCAATATAGTATCGAATTCAACAGCAAAGCGTTGGTTCCAACGCTTCCGTTCTGGTAATATGAACGATGATGAGACACGCTCTACTAGGCCAATCGTCGAAAATGTTCATCATGGAAATCCTCGAGTTGGACTGGTATGCAAGCACTTATTGCATTGCCCAGGAACTGAAGATTAGTCAGAAAACCGTTTGGAACCATTTGCATAAGGCTATTCTCAAAAAAAAGCTCAATGTATTGGACCAAACGCTCAGAACTTTTTACTTCACTCAATATAATTCAAAAGTCACGTTAAAATATATTAAATATAAATTGCTTTTAAATCGTTTTTTTTTTTGATGATTTGATACAAAAATCTATAATGGAAATTTTAACTTATTTTGTAGATTTTAATGTTTAATAAATAAATTTTAAATTATTTTATCGAATTAATTATTTATGATTACAATTTATATTTTTTTTAACTTTTGTGTGTTTTATAAAGAAAATATTTTATGAAAAACTTTAGACAATTAAAATCTATTTTAATCTGTTGGTAAATTCAGGGCTTTGAAGTATACAAAAAAAAGCTATAATAAAAATTCCGCGTTAAAAGCGAACTACTTAACATTAAGCTGATTACGAAGAGCAGCACTCTCAGTGTGCTTTATAGAAGAACGGACAAAAAAAAAGTGCATAAAAAACCATGGATCGACCGCTGAGGCGTGAACCTCTTCTGCCTTAAAATCGTCCTTTTTTTTCACCCATTATTTTAGTGAACTTCCATAAACTTTTAATTATTTAATGCTTCGTACCAATTATAATTATTAGTCGGGTGAACATTATCTCTTGGGAATTCTTAAGGGTATTTTAGTTGAAAGGAGATGGTTTTATTGAGTAATTAAATATTAACAGTCTTCGTGTAAAAGAGAAAATTTGAAGATCTTTTTGTTAATGGTCTAGTCATTAATGTAACTGAAGCAATAGTAATTTAACTACAGAAATAGTTCGGTTTGGATTGTTTGAAACCGGACTATTCAAATAATTTGTATAAAGTAGAACCTGTTTTTGTCCTTTTTATGCGATTTTGTGCGGTATATGAAATTCAACGGCGTTGGCAACATTGTAATGTTTTGTATCAGTTTGCATATGAAAAGCCTGCTGAAACGATTTTGTTAGTCGATTTTTAACCAATCTATCACAAGAAGATGCGCGTTTTGGATTAACACGAGTAGCAGTGAATTATGTGTGTGTATTTTTGAAAATTTCTCCATATGTACAATGACAAATTAAATGTTTTTAAGATGTTTCCATGTGTAATTTAATTATTTATTTTGTTTGGATGCACTTTCTCATGTATTTCGTAAATCTTTCACATGCGATTTTTTTTATGCGGTTATTATTCACCGCATAAAAAAAGTTTCTGTAATGTATTATACAAAGTAAGAATTAATGAAAATTTGGAATATATTGTTTGTTCGATTTTTAATGCGGTCCATATCAACCGCATAAAAACAGATTTTCACTGTAAAATTTATTCACTATAAAATTTTCGTATGTTTCGAAATTTTCGAACTGGATTATAGTAAATCTATTGCTGTACTCTAAATACACAAGATATTCGAAATATGCGATAAAATTTCACCAACAAGAAATTATATCAACAGTTTTCTATTGAAATTAACTTAATCATAATTGTATCTAGAAATAATTTCTAAATTATATAAAGTTCTTACTGAGTTACGTAAAATTGATATAAATTTATTAAATTGTTCTTTTTTATATAAAATTAAGGATTTTTATTGGAATAGTTTATTTTTTTGTAATAGTTTGCAATTCTAATAGAAAATTAAAAAAAAAATAAAATTAAATTAAAGGAAAATTTAACAGATTTAAACAAAAAAATACACAATTGATAAATAATAGAAATTTTACATTACAGAACATTGTTTTCTGTTGAATATTCGTCTCTATTATTCAATTTTCCAATAAAATGATAAAAAAATTACTTTTCTTTCTTAATAACCTTTTAATCAAATAAAGTTATTTTATTTAAACTTTTATTTTTTCCTATTCTTTTTATTAAATTTTGATGATATTATTAACTTTTATGTATTTTTTCATTAAATTCTTATAAATTATTTAAAAGTTTACTAAATTTCTAAAATTATAATTTTTAAAGCTATAGAAGAATTAACGTAGTTGTAAACAAAAAAATTCAATACATTTCGTACGTTTCATAAATTAAATTAATATATCAAGAAAGGAATTACAAATTAATAACGTGTATGAAAGGTTTACAGTTTACATGATAAATGCATGTCGGCACGTAAAGCAGCAATGATGAAGATGTAAAGTAATTGCAAATTACATTAGCAAAGGTCTATAACCTTTTATAAGTAATAAGTAGTTATTTGTAATTAAAAAATTAAGCATTAAGTAAAAGTGGATAAACTAATTAAATTTTCTAGTTTTTTGTGAAAATATTATTTAATTTATTTAATTTTATGATCAAATTATTATAGTTGAAATTATTTTTTGTAGAAAAAAATATATTTTTTCGTCTTTTTTCATTATTTTTTATATTTCTTTTAAATCCATTTATCTACAGTTTTGTTACATAAACTGTACAACTTTATTTCTCCTTTGTGTGATTCTGAATTGAAACGTATATTGTTATTTGTACGTGTCTGAATGCGCGTCGCGACGTTTCGGAAAGTGAAATTGATGTGGACCGCATTAAAAGGACCGCATCGAAATACGAAACACTAACAAAAAATAAAAATTCAACAATTCCCTTCCAAAAATTGTACTATTCAAAATTCGAGAACAAAATAAAAGATAATAATGTGTGTACTCACCGATGAAAAGTTCGAAGTTCCGTTGCGATCTCTGATTTTCGCACCGCAATGTCGGTGTGTGCCCGAAATGTTAAGTATTGCCGGCAGGACTAAACAGGACTACGCCGAAAAGGATGTGGGATATTTGCTTTGAAAAAGCCCTGTTGCGCAGAACCGGCCGCACTAAGTTCAACATCGGAGCGTCGCGACGCCCTCTCTTATCAAATAGTACAGTGACGTAAGCTTCCACCAAAAGGACACCTACCCCAACCCTTAAATTAATCAAAAATAAAGAGATCACTTTTCGCATCAAAATCCTGATAATATCAAACAAAACCAAAAGATGTCCTTACCACCACAAGGATTATTGTATTTCGCTTCAATCTAAACAGTTCCCTTTTTCTCTTGTGAAATATTCACAGCACCGTAAAGTTTGCATCGCTTTAATCATTTTTTTTGTGGATGCGCCGGGTTGATTGCCGCCGGTCGTTGGAAAGTTCGCGGTGGATTTATGAGAAATCTTTGTGTCCTTTTTTCTACACAGTTTTTTTTTTTCATTATTTCTCCAGAATATTTTTCGCAGTCGCGTTTTTTCAACATTCCTCGCCTTAATTAATTCTGCTGCAAAGCAGAAATAGTTGAAAAAGTTTTATTTTTTTTTCCACATTCATTAGATTACAACTAATTATGATAATCGAGCAAAGTTAGTGAGAAAAAGGACTTTTGCATTTATTTTATTTCAATTATTTTCAACGTTACTTTACTCCAGCAAATTTTCATTTTGAAGTATTACATTAAGTTAATATTAATCATTTATATAGGGTGGCCCATCGGATACGCCGGATTTAAATTTGCTTACATTATTTTTTGTATTTAAGTTTGTCATCTACTGTTTTTGAGGTTATTAAAAATGGGTCGCTATACAAAAGAACAACGTATTGTGATTGTTAAAACCAGGGAGACCCAACTTCCATGTTAATTTATTGAAAAGTACAATAAATAAGTACAAGTCCTTTTGGTCCATTTTAGATTTAGTCCATTCAATCCTAAAAATAAACATTAATTAATAGTGAATTACCACTTCTTGCACTGTATCTTCCATATGGGGCTTTTCATCAATAATATCAATATTCATGCCTGGATCTTCCATAATATTTTCAGTTAACTGTGGCATATTATAAGCACAGAACTTAGGTCTTTTATTGTAATTTCTGGAAAGTGAAGATTACAAACCCATGCAAATATTTTAATATGCTCGTTGCTCTTGCTAATCAAAGAAGCATTCCTTGTTGCCATTTTCCATTGAACAAACAATGGAGAATCAACTGCTGGAAATCTTCTCATTGTAATACCATGATCCTCTTTGGTATTGCATCCTTGGACGCAGCATTTTTGAACAATCCTAAAACAAATTGTATGTTAATTAAAGCAAATAGTTAAAGGAAAATTACTTACTACCTTATAATTGTCTGAATGAAACACAAGTTTACTAACAAACTATAACACACTTTAGAGAACAAAATGACCTAAAACAAATTATATATTAATTAAAGCAAACAGTTAAAGGTTGTCGAGATTCTGATACAGTCGGGATTATGGTTCTCGAAATTTTTATATAGTCGGGATTTCGAACGTGGAGATTTCGATACTGTCGGGATTTCGAACGTCGGGATTTCAATAGACGGTCTTTCTGTTGTCGGGCTTGCGATATAGACCCATTATATCTAGTGTCCACTTAATATTTGTGTTTAATACAATCACTTGATTTTCAGGTGTAATATTGGTTGCATATATTGTAATTGATCTCATACAATTATATTAAAGTTTTCATGAAAATAAAATCTATTGGACAGAAAAACTAATCAACCTAAGACATTTGTCTCAAAAGAAAATTGTAAATTAATTTTGAATGCAAAATCTTGTGATTAAAGAATTAACATTTACAAATATTATTTCTTTTTTTAGGATTCCAACACTTTACTGCACAAATTCAAATATTGCGTTAATTTTGGGACACCCTTTATATAACTAATTATTGTGATTTGTTGAAAATTTTGCTTATAATTATAATAATTTTTAAATTTTCATATTGAATCATAAAACTTAAATCACATAAATTAAATAAAATTTCATAAACATTCACTGTTCACATAAATATTAACAGAAAGATTATTTATTAATTAAATTCTATTCTATATTTTGTTTATGATTAATATTTGATTTGTTTAAAAAAAATAGAATTTTTTTATAATTTTACAAATAGGAAATTATATTTTTTTCGTATTTTAAGTATTTCTGTTTGAAAATAATAGAGAAAAATTACTAATATTCGTTTGCTATATTTGAAGGTGTTTTTTTATCTTAGCAAATGTAGTAGTAATTGATTATATGTAATTTTCTTTTAAGTTAGTGCTACAATCAAATTACTTTATGATGCTAATGGGTTGTAGAAAATGAAAGAATTTGTTAAATAAATTAAGAAACTAATATAGTTTTCTGAAATTTCTTTCGTTTTATCCAAATATCTTTTCTTAATTTAAAGAAAAAACTAAGCATTAAATGATTGCATTTGATTAGAAGTAACGTTCTTTTAATTCACTGTTCTAATTGAATTACCTTTTGTTGTGTATTGAAAAGGAAAGAAAAAAGAGAGTAAGGAAATGGAACACGAGGAAGGTGCCTTTTTGATTACATTTAGCTTATATTTCGTGAGTGGAGTTGGGCTGATACAAGAAGGGCGCACACGGAAACAGTCAGTATGAGGGTGGATGGAAAAAAAATAATAATTCGTTAAAAGAATGAAAACAGCCGCGGGGTCCGCGCATCCTTTATAATCAAACGCTATGAGTGAATGCGTATGTTGTTCACCGAAAATTTTCCTCCCTCCCAACAACACGAAAAAGAAAAGAACACAAACATCCTATCGAAAAAGTTTAAATTCTGAAGAGGTCGGGCCTCGAAGAGAAATCGCCGTCCATTAAAAAATCGAGCAACTTTTCAATTGGACTATTAATTAGAGCTTCGCGCGTTAATTCTTCCGCAAAACCGGGTTTTTGAAGGGGGGACGAGGGAATCCGAACAAAGGGGGTGTTCCGGCATTGTACCGGAAGTGACGCTGACTGATGATTGCCGGCGCCGCATAGAAAAAGAGACAAAAAGGAAAAGAAATTACGAAGACGTTGGATGGAATCGGGATGGATGAATCTCTTGGTTTGCAAACTAATGGTGCATTTTGCCTATTATCTGCCGTGTTCCCAGCGATTCCCAAAAACGAACGAGTAAATAAAACTATAAAATATTAAATGAGATCCGCCGGTTTATATTTGATGTTTTAATGTATGGGAGATGCAGGAAGCTGCGAACCGGCGTGGGAGAGAGGGAAATAGCTGCTGCATTCTTCATCCATATTCGCGAGTGCAAAAAAAAAGGAATGTTGGAATATAAAAATGGAGGACATTAAAAACAATAAAACTCGCATCTTTACAACTAATAAGAGTGGTAAAGGAATTTCCCTTACCTAAGAAGATATGTTAGTTTTTATCATACAATAAATCCCGGCGGAAAGTGCATGGGCCGTTTGGAGTTGGTAATAAACGAGTGCAGTTTTCGGTCGCAATAGAAATATAATAAAACGTTATATTTGATAAAACGCTCTTAAAGTACCAATATTTCAGCTTTAAGTTTTGCTGATATGAAACTTTTCGCATGGTCCTCCCTCATGCGCCTCATATTTTTAACCTCCCTCTCCACCTATCTTCTTTTTAATTGATTTTTATCAATACCCTCAACATATTGAACGATTCCAACTAAAGTATTTATATATAGGGTGAACCGTTTTACAATTTACAACCCTAAATATATTTTCGTAACTTTTATAAGTACGAGACAAATTTGCATAATTTCCAAATCCTTATATATTGATCATACACATCTTAATTCAATTTTAAAGTTATTTAAACACCTTCTTAAATATTTAGTGGTTAACATTGTTTTGACAGAAACATCTTTATTTTCTTTGTCTTCGTTGCTAACATGTTTTCTAAATCTTCCAAGAAAAGCCTTCATCATTTGCATTCCATAAATTTCAACCTCATAATCCAAATTTCTTTTTCATATTATGTTTTCGTAGAAAAGTTGGAAAGTAATATAAAACCTATTCCTTAAGAGACTACAAGATATAATCCACGAAAAGGCACTCATACCAGATTACCAGTTTCGATTTCGCATGGACAAGTTAATGGACTAGTTCAGTTGTCGGCAAAGTGCGGCTCCAGAGCCGCATGTGACTCTTTGGTTCCTTAAGTGTGGCTCTGGCACAAATATCCACGGAGGCGCAACAACATACAAACCACCTGACTTACTCAAACTATCCATTCTTAAATTAGAACAAACAAAAATTAATTGAAAACTTTCCCCCTTCAGGTTTTGGAAACATGATGTTGCTTTTTTTATCAAATTGGAGGAAGCACAAACTGATCTGAGTCCCATCGAATCGGGCGTTCCACAAGGTAGTGTCTTGAGGCCAATTTTATATGTCCTATACACTGCAGATATACCAGCAATAGAGAAAATAATCATGGCAACTTTTGCAGATGACACAGCAATCATGGCATCAGACGAAAGACCCATAATTGCATCTCGACACCTTCAAGGAGAGCTTAATCTGCTCCAAATATGGTTCAGGAAATGGCGAATTGGTATAAACCAGTCGAAATAGGTGCATGTTACTTTTACCTTAAACGAGACACCTTCCTCCAGTCAAACTCAACAACAAAGTAGTTCCAACATCTTCAAGGGTGATATAGTTGGGAATGCAGCTGGACACGAGACTGACTTGGAAGGACCATATCCAGGCAATGCGTAAACAACTAGTAATAAAATTTAGAAAGATGTATTGTTTTCTGTGCACAAATTCGCAGATGACTTTGGAGAACAAGTTGCTAGTGTACAAAGTCATATTAAAACTAGTTTGGACATGCAGTATCCAATTTTGGGGAAAACTAATATTAAAAAAATCCAAGTATTCCAATCTAAATGTGCTAGAAGAATCGCGGGTGTACCATGCTACATCACCAATAAGAGACTGCACCAGGACTTTGGAATAAAAACAGTGGAAAAGGTTTCAAAAAATTTCTCCAAAAAATACACGAACAGGCTTGTTTCTCATATGAACCCGTTGGCGGTATACCTTCTCGATAATGGCGTGACAACTAGAAGATCAAGTCAAGTCCTTGGATCTCCAATTTAGATTTAAGTAAAGAATAAATAAATAAATATTATATACAAACGTTATGGAATGGTGCCATTAGTCAGCAACTTTCTAATGTCAACAGCGAACAGATTTGATAAATGTTAAGTAGAATAGATTGTAAATAAAAACTTCGTTATATCGAAGCTTCGTTATCAGAGCAAAAATTAACTGTGTATTAAAAATACATACATATAATTAGTATACATTATTTATTTATCTTTTAATAAAACAATTAATTACTTAGAAATATTTAATTACCACTTTACAAACTCCATTAATTTTCATGTAATTATAAACGTTACATAATGTTACAGTTATTTAAATATATTTTAAAAGAATTATGTTTTTTTTTGTTGGGAAATCAATTAATTATTTAAAATCATTTCTCTTAAAAAAAAATGTTTGTAAAATTATGAAGTAAAAATCGTGAGTTGATACATTATTAAAAAGTACTAAGGGATTTTTAAATGGGCCTAATCATTATATGTACACAATTTATTATTAATCTCCCTTCTTTACAAACAAAAAAAAATGTTTCTTTTTCCTTTACCAATATTAATAATTCTTGAGTTTCTAATGCATTTTTTTTTTAACATATATGATCTTTCATTATTAGATTACTTTAAAATTGTTAAATTTATTATGACTTATTATAACAAAAAGTATTTGCGTATTAATTAATAATTGATTATGTTAATGAAATTAAAATTTTAATATTTTAATTAATTCTTTCATTGAAATCTCAGTCAATTATTGTTATTTATTTACAACTAATTAAAGATAAATTTCTTTACCCAAAAAATCACTAATTTCATCATTCAAACATATTAAAGAAACACACCTAATTTGATGGTAATAGCATGAAAAAAAGTGTACTTAATCATTATTTACAAACAAAATCAATTTTCAAAGAATACATTTCATTTTATTTATTTAAACCTAATTTCTAAGCGATATATAACAAGATACTTATACTCTAGTACTTAAATATGCAGAGGTAAGGAAACCTTATATAGGGACTAAGGGTGTAGTCGTGGTACTGTGGTATTCTACCGCACTAAAACCTCTCCTCTTCTTCGTCGTCTCTACTTCCTTTAGACTACTTATGTCAGTCCTGGCCTCCACTGCCGCTCGTTTTCTTCTTTAGGCAGTAGCACTTTATCAGCATTTCCCTAACAACATTTTTCGACTATAGCAAGACTCCCAATTCTGCATCTGCCTCGTGTTTCCTTTTAAGCCATCTGCAGCACCTAAACACCGTGTGTTGGAATAGCAACCTCAAACCATACTGATAATTCACATATAGTTTAAGGTTTCCACTGCATCTTTCAGCTACGTGATTCGTTTTGAAGATCAAAATCGATGGATCGGAACTATTCAAACCTCCCACGTTGTCTCCCTTCTAGATGTCTGCACTGCATTGGTTTCTCGATGGAACTCATATTCAAAAATAACGCTATTTTTACAAAATTTAATTTTTTTTTGTAGACCACGGGAGTCTGGGAGAGTAGTGTGGGATTCTTACCACACTAAAATCGCTCCCCTTCTTCGTCAGCATACAGAGCCTGTAACACTATACTACTCTGCGATGCTGATTGTCTTTGCCTGTTTGGCACTTCTTTTAGATCAGTGGTTTCCAAACTTGATGTTACTACGCCTCCCTCAAAAGTATGTAATCATTTGGCGCCATCCCTCCCCCTCCATTTCATAAAAGGAACGCGATAAACATTCAGCTTTAATATGCATATACTGGATTCATTCTATCTATTTCGAGTTTTCGAGTAAATCAATGAAATGTGAAAACACTGCTTTTTCGAACGTTATTATTTCAGTTTTTCAACTTTGAACGCGTGTTACAGCAATATGGATAAGAGCACAGGGATGTTCAACATTAAATTTGTTTTCTTTTTAAATTATTTATTCTCTCTCTGTTCAAAAGAAATTTGATGTTTTATTATTAAAACATAATAAATAATTATCCAATGTAATCAAGACACAGACAATATCGAACAGCCTTCACAAAGTTCGTCAACTGAGGGTTTTCTGTATATAGTAGAACCTGTTTTTGTACGCATGAAACAAATCGCACAAAAAAAATATTCGAAATTTTCATAAATTCTTACATATAACAAATAAGTTTGTGCAATACATTAGAGAAACTTTTTTTATGCGGTGAAGGTACCTCTTTACCGTATAAAATAAATCGCACTTTGAAAATACATGAAAGATTTACGAAATACACGAGAAAGTATAAAGAGCACACAAAAATTAAATTTTCATACTTACCTTTAAAGAATATCCAATAAACTATAAATACACAGTTTTAGGCATTTCTTTATATAACTTTGAAATCTCCAAAAACTATAGGTAGATCAAGATGTATCATTTTTTCTGTATCTTTAATGTTCTGATCAATTCATCAAAGTTGTTTTTTTTTATTTTAATGAAATAAATAAATGATTGTAAAAAAAATATGGACAAAAAGTAAAATTAAAGACAAGCCAACTGGGACAGCTTCGAAAGAACTAAGGTACTCATTTTCGTTTTATTTTATAATAATAATTTAAATTACAAACAACACAACTAAAAAAAAGAGAGAGATAAAATAAAAATAATAAAAAGAGCAATCAATAATTAAGGAAGAACAGAATAAATGTACAACTATACAAAATAAAAAGAGAAAAAGAAAATAATAATAAAACGAAAGGAAGTATGTATAGATTATATATATATGTGTAAATATAATAATAAAACAGTGTTTCTCCAACATCAATATTTTTACTCACTTCGCATGTATTTCATTCATCATCATCATATATGTTTGTATATATAATTATTAATATTTTTTTTTGTTCTTATTACATAGGTACATACAATTTCATTTTTTTTAATATATATATATATAGATTTATTTATTTATATTTTTTTATTTATGTAAAAAATTGACACGTAGCGGGCTTCACATCCACCTTTCTTTTTATAGTTTTTAATCTTCGTTTCAATGCGTATGTATATAAATATAAATTATACACGTTTTCTTATTCATCATCAATGTTTTTTTCTGTTGTTGTTATTGTTGAGAAGGGGCGGAAAACTTAAATAATAATTGACTAAGTGTGTGTGTGTGTGAATTGCGCACGTCAGGATCATCTCGTTCCAATCCACCGATCCTTCACTATATATTCCTAACTAATTAACAAATTACAAAGAAAACAAAAAAAAATAACAATAAATCCATCGCCTGTGAAAATAATGTTACAGTAGAAAACAAATTAATGAGAGGAGAGAAAAAAATTGTATATGTAGAGGGTTGACAGAGAAATAATAATGTTAATAATTCCGGAAAGCGAATAATAATGTAAATCCCAGAGAAATTGAATTAATTAAAAAAAAACATGGAAATAATAAAATGAACAATAATAGATGTACACTCCGGATTTTGCTCTTCTGCGACAATGATGACAATTCTGAGCAATACGCGTTCTGCGAAACGTCAGCGTTACGTCATTTGACAGATGACATTTGACAATTGACGTAAAGTTGACATTAGTTTGACGTTTCTCAAATCGCGAATTGAGCTGAATAATAACAATAATAATAAAGAAAGAGAAAAAAAACAAATAAGTAACGATTTATTTAAATAATTCATTATTTTTTTTCAGCAAAATGTGTTTCTTTTGTTTTAAATATATATATTTTTCTCTAATATAATTACGATTTAATAATAGTATAAAGACAAGTTGACTAAACAAAATATAAAATGATGAGCCTTTGTTGTTGTTAAGTTCGTTAAACGCGAGTCCGTCGTCCTCTTGTTGTTGTTTTTTTTTGGCTATTCCCAGTTGAAATGATGCGAGCAAAACGAACCTTATTTTCCGAAAAATGTATATTCATTATGCAACGCAGGATTTAAAAAGAACGAAAGGATTTCGAAATGATCAAAAATAAAAACAAATAAAAATGAGGAGGACGGAGAAACGCGATGCGAAAAGACGAAAATAAAAACAGAACATGCTTCCGAAGTGCTTTATGACCAGTACCGAAATGACAAGAATACAAATGAATTTATGAATATAAAAATTAGAAATTATAATATTTTTTTATATATATAATAATAATATGATCTAAACTAAATTAACAAAAAAAAAGGTACATGAAAGCACCTAAACATCTAAACACTATATACAACGTCAGTTATTATTTATACTTTTTTTTTTGTTTTTGCTTCATTTATTACAGAATGTACGAACGTATGGTTTATGTGTACATTTGCGACCCAAAAGAAATAAAAAAAAAACAAAAGAAAACGAGAGCACATTTCAATATTTTTTACAATTTACCATTGTTTTTCGTCTTACATTTTCTGGGTTTTTTTTATTTTCAATTTTCGCGCCTTTTAAACAAATTAAAAATATAATAATTTCCCACATCTGCGTCTCCTATATTACAAGTATATATATTTATTTATATAGTTTTTTTTTACAATTCATTTCATCTTCTTTTTTTCTTCTTCTTCTTCCTATATGCAATATGTTCTGGCCTTAAATGTTAAATTAAAAGAATGAAACAACGAATTGGAGAAAACTGCGTCAAACGAAACTAAAAACTTAATGATTCTTGATAAGATTAAACGTACAAGAAGTTATATTAAGGACAGAAAACAAAAATATATAAAGAAAGAGGGGAGAAATCATAATAAAACTAGTAATGGCACCAATGACTGGATGATGATAATATTAAACAAAAACAAAAAAAAATATGACTGCAATTAAAAATATTCAACACTTATTTGTTAATATTAGACATAAAAAGCATTATTCCACTTCTCACGTAGAGTTTCCCTATTTCTCACTTTGTCAGTCTCTCGCCGTTCGCGTCCTCCGTCCTGAATTTACACATAAATAAATTTACAGGGAGGACGGGAGGACGAAAACGCAAGTTGCGAAAAGTATAAACCAAGAAACTTAATTACAAAATTAATAATAATAATATATATAAAACAAACGAACACTATTTTTCCATCCCAAATCCATCCGAAAGTCACCAATTTATTTATCTTTTTTTTATTTATTTCATAGATGCGCGCCTGTGTGTATATATATATATGTATAAATATATCATTTCTTCCTTGTGTAAATTCTGTACAAACAATTATTATGAGCATAACACGAGATCATATTATAACAAGATTACATTGTCTCAACAGTTGCCACAACGAAGAGAACGGTCGACGATGATGATCCAAAACGATTACCGATCAGTTTAATTTTCGTTAATTTTCTCTTGGAGAAAACAAAAACAAACACATAATCAAAATACGAAACGACGACGACGACGATTGTTGTAGTAGTAGTGTGAATTCTTCTAGATGCACGACACCACAGCTCTCAGAATGGAATTCCATCCCTGAAACAAAAGAAAAACAATTTAGTTATGATATTCTAAGAAACTTGACAACTTTATGTCATTTTTTTTATTGTCTAACCAAAATTGCAACTAATAATTAAATGACATTCATATAACTGTTGCAAAACTAGAGACTGATTGGAATTAACATTACTGAACTTTGACGTCCAATGACGATACTGAACCTTGACTTAAAGTTAACATTACTGAACTTTCAAGCACATTTTAGTCAGTGCGATAATGATGACAATAAACGTTTTGTAAAACGTCAAAATAACGTCAGCTTTACGTCATTTTACTGTCAATTAATATTTGACAATTGACGTAACGTAAACAAAATGTAAAGCGATTTGACGCAATTTTGACACAACTTTGACGTTTCTTAAAACACGAATTGCACTGAATAATAACATAAATAAATAAATGTTACTGAAATAACATTACTGAACCTTGACGTGATGTTTACATTATTGAACTTTGATGCACACATCCGGATTTTTCTGTGTGCGGTAATAATGTCGATTCAGAACAATACACGTTTTGAGAAACGTCAGCTTTACGTCATTTTACTGTCAATTGATATTTGACAATTGACGTAACGTAAACAAAATGTAAAGTGTTTTGACGCAATGTTGACACAACTTTGACGTTTCTTAAAGCACGAATTTCACAGAATAATAACAAAAATAAATAAATCCAACTGAAATGACATTACTGAACCTTGACGTGATGTTTACATTATTGAACTTTGCGCGTTTTGCGAAACGTCAAAATAACGTCAGCTTTACGTCATTTCACTGTCAATTCATATTTGACAATTGACGTAACGTAAACAAAATGTAAAGTGATTTGACGCAATGTTGACACAACTTTGACGTTTCTTAAAGCACGAATTGCACTGAATAATAACAATAATTAACAAACAACAACAAAAATGTTACTGAAATGTAGTTACTGAATTGACATGACGTTGACATTACTGAACTTTGACGTGACGTTACAGAAACAATATAACAATGACACAATGTCTAGAACTTATGATAATTTTTAGTGCCTACGGTTTTCACGAATAAATATTGGAATTAGTATTAAAAAATACATATTTTCTCGTTAAGTTATCTTGTCAACTGATGTTGTGGACCCTAAACCTTAATACGACCTTGATATGACATTGACATTACTCAACTTTAATGTGACATTTGACATGTTGACATCATCCAACTTCTAACCTATCTTGTATTGAAACATTTAGGATAAAAAAGGTAATAACAAAAATTATTGAAACTATTTACATATATAATGCAGCAATATTAATTATGGAATGCATATTTAACCTTCATGAATTTCGTGTCGCATTGAAAATTCTGTACGTAATAATTGATGAACTTGTGGTTAAATAACAACGAATTCCGCAATTTCAATATTTCGATTCGATATTTATTATTGATGTTGGCGTGTTCCGTTTAATATCTGCGATTATTGCGACGCGTGCTTTTTACGCAAAGAGACGGCTTTTTACTTGCGCATCATTAAGCCCTTCGTGTCCGTGTAAATTCCTGTAATTCGAGCACCGTGCACACGCTCGAGACGGATTCATTTAATTCTTCTGATATAATCAAACTCATTGATTCGATTTAGTTCAAACCAAACACCTATAATTTAATTATAACATTATACACAAAAAAAAAATAAAATTATAACAAAATAAAGAAACTCACAGATATTTTCATTAAAAAACGTAATATTTTGTTGACTTTGTACGACTTCAGTAGATATAAATTTCATATTCAGAGAAAATTTTGCAAATAATTTTTCAAAAAAATAAGTTACTAAAAATCTTGGTGAATAAAAGTTATATGATTTTGTAATAAAGTAATTAAGTAAATTGCTGCTGTATACAGAATATTTGCAAACAGTTGATCACGGGGAATGAGCGCATCGTTCGTTATAAACAAACATGTTTTTGTTATTGCATTGTCGTTTCCGATGAGTTTAATAACTCGTCGTAATAACAAACTGTTATTGTCATTGACATTAAAAGAATGCAAGAAAATCTAAATAATAAAAACGCATACATATTTTATATAAATAAACGTTCGATGATTTAAATTGTATGTATTTTTACACACAAAAATAAATGAGAACACTTAGGTTCCTACATGAAAGATAATGCAACAAATAACGGACGCAATGAAAAACAACATGTTTTCACAGCAAAACCACGTTTGAAATCGGACGAAATCACGCTTCAAAGCGTAAAGGTCACGGAGATATTAAATTTATTCATTTGCGGCCACACAAATTAGACATAATTGGATAAATAAGTGCGCGTATTATGAATAAATTTTTATTTGTTCCATTCATTCCAAGATACGAATTAAAAAATAGAAATAGAAATAATATATTGAAATGTTACATCACAATTAAGGATATTTGAAAACACTAAAATTATAATAGAAATAGCAGAAAAACAAAGCGTAAATTCATTTAATTTTATACCAAAATATCACCAAAAATGAAATATTTAATTACGTAATAAATTGATAAGTTTGTAATAATTATATTATAATGAAAAAAAAATACTATAGGTTGGATAAATAAGATTATAGTTATGTTTAACTCTATTATAAGTAGCGGCTCTATTATCCGCCCATTTTTTTTATATAAAAGAAATATGCTTATGGAAAATTTATTACAGACGCAGTCATCGAATTATAGTTTTTAATCATGTTATCTAAAAATTTCATATAAAAAACTGAAATTTGCATGTATCAGGACTTTGTAATTGAAATAAATGTCTAAATATATGTTAATAATAAGAGACTAAAATGTAGTTAAATGTATGTAAAAATATCTGCGAAATAATGCGATACATTTGATGCATGTAATAAGTCTTGTGTAATGGGAAGATTAACGTTGGTAGCTGTGCGGTGATAATTAAAAGATGTGTTCATTTTGGCACTTAATGTAACGACATGGAGGCTGTTAAGAGACCGGTTATTGGTTTTAAATCAACGTATTACAATGCTCTTGTCCTTTGTGAATAACGAGCTAATAAATACTTGTCTCTGAGCGCAAAAGTCCTGATGGAAATATAATAAAAACACACGAAGGTTAAAAGCTTTTCACATTTTTAAAATAATTTAATCCTCCTGTTTGCAATTTGATTAAAATGTATGCGAATTAATAAATCAAAAACAAAATAGAAGAATAAAATTCAGTAAATGTATAAAGTTACCAGACAACAAAGTATGATTTTAACAAAAATTATAAATTTTTATTGGTACTCAAAATTATTAAGTGAAAATGATTTTTTAGTAACTGTATACATTTACCAATTTTGTACAAAATCTAAACAACATTTGCTTGCTTTTTATAAGCAGTAAATTATGTTACCTAACATTTCTTTTCATCTTATATATCGAGAATTGGCGTCTAACAATAAACGAAAAGAAGAAATCATTCGTTTGTCGACTACATCTTGAATGTAATTACGATTAAAATCAAACCGATTCTGGCATCTCAAACCCCCCCCCCTTCCTTTTCTGCTCTCTCATCCTTCTTTTGAGATGTCGAGGATCGAGGTTGTCGAGGGACTCCTTTGATTCCTCGAGGAAAATACCTCAAGGAACTGCGCGCCACACCGCCATACACTACAGACTATATAAGTATAAAAGCTTTGTTTCAAAGGAGGAAATCCTTCAGCTGCTCCCAATTATATACTTAAAACGGGATTATATATATAGAGAGCGACGCTGCGCGTGTTTATTAAAACTTAATTCGCATAAACCCGCAAGACTTTCAGCGATGTAAAACGTATCCAACGGAATTTCAATGAGATAACTAACTTGCCTTTATTTATCACAAATTACGACTACAGTTTTGCTCAGTTTGTGTGTAATTACACATTTATTGAATGAAATTAATATGTTTGTTAAAATAATATTAAGATATTTTTTATAGTCTTAATATT